TTTGGTTGATTGTATCTGTCAAAGGAATTGGTCCACTTCTTTTAAGTTATTAAATTTATGGACATAGAGTTGTTGATAATATACCTTTATTATCTTTTTAATGTCCATAGAATCAATAGTGATATTTCCTCTTTCCTGTTTGATACTAGTAATTTGTGTCTTCCTTTTTATCGTGGTTAGCCTCACTAGAGATTTATAAGTTTTATGGATCTTTTCAAAAAATCATCTTTTGGTTTCTTTGATTTTCTTTATTGTTTCATTTTTCCAGTTTTATGGATTTCTCTTCTCATTCTTATTATTTCTTTTCTTCTTCCTCTGAGTTTGATTTGCTCTTTTTTTCTACTTTATAAAATAGAAACTTAGATGATTGATTGTAGATCTTTATTTTTGGCTAGTATATCCATTCAATGCTAAATTAAATTTCCCTCTCAGCACTACTCTCACTGCATCCCACAAATTTTAAGTTGTGTTGTTATTTTCATTTAGCTAAAAGTATTTTTAGTTTCTATAGAGACTTATTCTAGACCCATGTGTTTTTTCTTTGTTTCTTTGTTGTTGTTTTTATTGTTTAAAGTATTACAAATAGTAGTACATATGTCTCCTTTTATTTTTCCCCATTGACCTCCCCCCGGCCTTCCCTACCCCCCGGCACATGCCCTCAACATTCCCTCCCAGTGTCTTGTGTCCATTGGTTATGCTTATATGCATGCATACAAGTACTTTTGTTGGTCTCTTTGTTCATCAGTGTATAATGTTCTTTATATTCCACACATGACTGAGATCATGTGGTATTTATCTTTCACTGACTGACTTATTTCACTTAGCATAATGCTCTCCAGTTCTATCCATGCTGCTGCAAATGATAAGAATTCCTTCTTTTTTACCACAGTATGGTATTCCATTGTGTAGATGGACCACAGTTTTCTAATCCACTCATCTGCTGATGGGCACTTAGGCTGTTTCCAAATCTTAGCTATTGTAAATTGTGCTGCTATGAACATAGGGATTCATATATATCCTTTCTGATTGGTGTTTGTTTTCTTGGGATATATTCCTAGAAGTGGTATTACTGGGTCAAATGGAAGTTCCATTTTTAATTTTTTGAGGAAACACCATACTGTTTTCCACAGTGGCTGCACCAGTCTGCATTCCCACCAGCAGTGAAGCAGGTTTCCTTTTTTCTCCGCATCCTCTCCAGCACTTGTCGTTTGTTGATTTGTTGATGATAGCCATTCTGGCAGGTGTGAGATGGTACCTCATTGTTGTTTTGATTCACATCTCTTAGATGATTAGTGACTTAGAGCATGTTTTCATATGTCTCTTGGCTTTCTGTATGTCCTCTTTGGAAAAGTGTCTATTTAGGTCCTTTGCCCATTTTTTTATTGGATCTATGTGTTTTTAGATGTGTGATGTTTTATTTCCAAATATTTTGTGATTTTCCAGCTACATTTATATTGTTGATTTCTAACTTAATTCCATTATGATCTGAGGATATACTTTGTATGGTTTATATTCTTTTAAATATGTGGAGATGTATTTTGTGGAACAGAATACTATCTTGGTGAATGCTACAAATGAGCTTGAATAAAAGGCATATTCTGCTATTGCTGATTGAAATATTCTATAAATGTCAATTGGATCCAGTTGATTGATGATCCTGGGAATTAGATCCTGGGGCCTCATACGTAATAGGAACTCAATAAATGCTTGTCAAATGTGTGAATAAATGAATAAATTAACAAATGAAGAGTATCACATACCATATACCATAAATTATTTAATATTTCTCCTATTAAAGGACATTGAGGTACATCAAATTTTGCACTATTAAAACTCTATAGTAATTCATGTTTAAATCAATATCTTAATATTATGTAAAATTCCATGATCTTATTGTATAAGAAAGTAAAATGCAAAAAAAATATTAGCTAATGAAAGGATCACTTCTAAAAGAAGTCCTCTCTCAGATTTCCCTCCATGTATAGTACTAGCATAGTCCCCCTCCCACCATTTCTTTATTGTCTGTTTCCAGTTCATTTTTGGATGTGTATTTTAATCTGTTGTTTTAGAATATTATGCAACATTAATGCAAATCGATTTATTAAATGATACCACAAATTTCACACAAGGAAATGTGTCTCATGCTGTGAGACTAAAGAAATGCTAAAATCACAAAAATGATTTTACAATGGATACATGGTATAGTTAAACTAGTTAATACGGGCAGAAAGGAAACTGACAACTACGATTACATGACAGACGTTTCAAAATAATTATTTTACTGTTAAAGTAAAAAGAGAGGCTTTGGAATGATTGAGGTTCTCTTAATGATTTTTTTTTGCAAAAGTCATAAATGAGGAATTCAATATCATGCTATCATAAAAAGTTATTGAAAATGCTACACCAAAAATGTCCAAGATTTGATTCATATCTTGTGCTAAGAAATAGCCCACAGAAGCAATTATAATTTAAATTTTATCACATAAGTAAAATTCATTTTTATAATATTTACTTTTATTTCTCTAGAATATCTCCTAATTAATTAGGTCTATTATATTTGTTCTTAATTTAAAATGGATATTTATTCTCAGATAACTAGGATCCTCAGATATTACCCCAGGGTTAAGTTACCTGGTTCCTAACTTTCTATGTAGAAAATACACCAAACCTCCTTCCTGGTATCTTACCGGCAAACTGAATGCTGATACTTGACTGCACTGATCACTAAAAAACCAGCAGTAATATTTATGGCATAAACTAATAAAAGTGGAGTCATTAACTCTAACAGCAGGAACATTTTAAGTTTTGACAGATACTAACAAGTATCCCAACAAAAAGTTTACCAAATTACAACCTCATCAACAGTTTATAAGAATATATTTGCTTTGTCCATTGCCAAAATCTTAGATTATACAACTTTAAATCTTTTGCCAATGTATGACCAAAAGGAAGTACAGTATTATAAAACTCAGGATAAAAATCTCTCGGTCAAATAAATTTTCTTCCTCGCCATTTCTTCATCATGCTGAGTTACATTCTGGAGAGAAATAACATCCATGAGAGTATGTCTTATAGATAAGAAAAATCAGGAGAGGGGGTGGCAAGGGGAGATTATCTGTTTTACTTTTTTTTTTCTTTTATAAGTTCCCTGGTTATACTTTCATTTCTATTTTGTCGTTCTCTTTCAGAAGGCAAGGAAAAATTATGTGGATCTCCTCCCAACTCTCGCGTGACTCCTTTGCAACCTTCTTTGCTTCCTCTCTTTGCCCTACAAATGCGTACACTTCCCAAGAGTCAGATTCCAGACTCCTGCTTTTCTCTCCCCATCCCCTCTCCTCGGGGACCTTAGGATTTTCACACAGGTGCCCACATAGCCACTTCTCAAATACTTTTTCTATAACTCCAGCCTTAAACTACCATTCCACCTATCTCCTAGAAATGATAACTCAGATATTTCAACACAACTTTGAGCATGTTAAAAACAAACAAAAAACACATTCTTTCTCAATTCAAACTGGCTCCCCCTTTGACTTCCTTAATGTGACCAGTTTTGGGGGTTTTCCTAAAGAAATCATACTTGAAAGATGAGTCATCCTATCTCTGTATTGAGTATCAGGGTTTATCAATTCCTTTTTATGGGAAAGTCTTTCATTTGTACCCACAGTACCACAGTCACCATTCTTATCATCCTAACACTGACATTATTATAATGATGTACTGCCATTAATCTCAGTCCTTGAAATAAGAAAAGAAGTGTTTCCCTAGCTGGTTTGGCTCAGTGGATAGAGTATCAGCCTATGGACTGAAGGGTCCCAGGTTTGATTCTGGTCAAGGGCACATGCCTGGTTTGCGAGCTCAATCACCAGTGGGGAATGTGCAGGAGACAGCCGATCAATGACTCTCTCTCATCAATGATGTTTCTATCTCTTTCTCCCTCTCTAAAATCAATAAAAATATGTTGGGTTTTTTAAAAAAAAAAAGGAAAAGAAAAGAAGTGTCAACAGCATCAGCTGGGGTCAGTGCCCCAGAAAGGGTAAAAAACAAATGTAAGCCCAGAATCTAGGCATTATTTGGGGGGGGGGGGGGGGGGAGGGGGTCAAGTGTTATTGACCTGTCAGGCAGAAGAGAATTTAATCTCTGTGTATATAATAATATCGTCTTAATGGTGATAGGAATGATGAGCAATAAAAAGAGAAAGGCGTTGCATTTTTTTAATCCATGGTAACTTCTATACAAAGAAGTATTTTTGTTCTTGTTATTTTACTACTATGGCTTTGAAATATAGCATGGGATTTGTGTGCAATCACTTCCATATACAAGAGGGATCAGCTGGAAATTAAGTCCTAATTCCCGTGTATGAAAGCTGCCTAATCACTTCTTTAAGAGAAACACAACAAAATTCGAAATATGGCACTCAGCATTCCACAGGAAACTGTTAAAAATATTACATACAGCACACCTTCAAGCTTACACTCTGGTGAGAACACTGGAACCATAGATATTGTTTTTGGATCAGGTAAAGCAGTGTTTCTCATGCAACACAGCATGGTTGAGCCAGGATTAGAATCATAGTCTTAGGGCTGCAGCCAAAAGTTACAGTTTCCAGACTCCAATTAAAAAAAAAAATCCCCTCCCTGTCACTCTCTTTTCCTCTCCTCTGAGACTTCCCTAAGAAATCAACATATGAATTTAATTGTCTTTTTTTGGGGGGGGGGTTGTTTTGTTTTGTTTTGTTTTGATTTTTGAAATTTAGAAACATGTTGACAATTAAGTACAGGAATGATTTGAGCTTTTTGTCCACTCTGACCCTTTGCCTACTTCTGTAACCATGATCAGAACATGGACTCACCACTGCAATATACACCTCTTTCTCAGAACTTAACTAAACACTGTCCCCTGCTCTTATCAACCTTTAAATGATAATAGCATGTATTCTTTTTTTGCTCATCATCTTAGCCATGTTTTCTATTTTCTGTTCCATTGCTTTAAAATATCTCACTTGGAGGTAGCTAGCACAAGGCTGGGTAGCACTGAGCCTCGTGTTGTGCCCTGCGCTGCCCAGGCTAGCGAACAACACAGTCAGGATGGCTACAGGTGATCCCAAGAAGCCAAAGGGCAAGATGCCTGCTTATGCCTTCTTTGTGCAGACATGCAGAGAGGAACATAAGAAGAAAAACCCAGAAGTTCCAGTCAATTTTGCAGAATTTTCTAAGAAGTGTTCTGAGAGGTGGAAGACAATGTCGGCAAAAGAGAAATCTAAATTTGATGAGATGGCAAAGGCATATAAAGTACGCTATGATCAGGAAATGAAGGATTATGGACCAGCTAAAGGAGGCAAGAAGAAGGACCCAAATGCCCCCAAAAGGCCACTGTCTGGATTTTTCCTTTTCTGCTTGAAATTCCACCCCAAGATCAAATCCACAAACCCTGGAGTCTCTATTGGAGATGTGGCAAAGAAGCTGGGCGAGATGTGGAATAATTTAAGTGACAGCGAAAAGAAACTTTACAACAATAAGGCTGCAAAGCTGAAGGAGAAATATGAGAAGGATGTCGCCGACTATATAAGTCTAAAGGCAAGCTTGATGGTGCAAAGGGTATCAGTAAAGTTACCCAGAAAAAGGTGGAAGAAGATGAAAAAGAGGAGGAGGAAGAGGAGAAGAAAGAAGAGGAGAGGAGAAGGAGGATGAATAAAAAAACTGTTTATCTCCTTGTGAATACCTTAGTGGAGGGGAGGACCATAATTGATACAGCTCTTATTTGAGAGGTGTCTGTTGCCCACATTAGGATTAATTACACAGATGGATCATGATCATATATAGTCTCTCAAAGTGCTCTAGAAATTATCAGTGGTTTACATGAAGTGGCCATTGGTGTCAGAGCACCCAGAAACTGTATCAAAGTTGTACATATTTCCAAACATTTTTAAAATGAAAAGGCTCTCATGTTCTCCTCACTCTGTGCACTTTGCTGTTGGTGTGACAAGGCATTTAAAGATGTTTCTGGCATTTTCTTCTTCTTTTTTTTTTTTAATCTTAAGGTGGTGTTAACTATTTGGTTACTAGAGGCCCAGCACACGAAATCGTGCGCGGTTAGGGTCCCTAGGCCTAGCCTGCGATTAGGGCCATTTCTGCCCTCTCGCCAGTCTCTGGCCGAAGCTGCCACTGCCGCCACCAGCCAGCCAGTTCCCCTCACAGGCCCTCGTCCTGCCCCACCGCCGCCACCAGCCAGTCACCCCGTTCCCCTCACCGGCCCCCCACCTCATAACGACTGGTCAAGCCATCGTTCTGGTCATCCCGCTTATGGTCTGACCTTTTATTATATAGGATTGGCTAGAAATCCTGAGTTCTCAACTGCACATCTCTATAGTTTGTAAAAAGAAGAAACAACCAAGACAAGTTTTTGATGCTCTTTGCTTGGTGTTGGGCTGCGGGGAAGATGCCTTGTGGAGGGGTCGTAGCTCAGGGCGTGCACTGTGAGGTTGGACCTGTGGACACTGCAGTGGGCATCCATTTAGCTTCAGGTTGTCTTGATTTTGTATATAGTGACAGCGCATCCTGCCATTCTTAACTGTGGAAAAGGGGGGGTCAGCTGGCATGAGAAATGTTTGGATCTTTCTTAGTTAAGTGTGATAGTTTTAAACTGTTTTAAAACAAACTGTACAACTCTTCATTGTCAACAAAGTGAAAGTCACTGCATCAATGAAAGTCGAGAACCTTCTGTGCTAAACACAATTTGCAACGTTTTGTTATTTTTTTGTATGTTTAGAATGCTGAAATGTTTTTGAAGTTAAATAAAATCACTATTACGTTTAAAAAAAATATCTAACTTGGAGATTTTGAGGTTTTTCATTTTACTTTTTTTTGCTTTACTCTTTAAGTAAAACACTTTTAGAAAGATGTTTGTTTGTTTTTGTATCTCAATCCAAGTGTTTTTTTTATTGTTGAGAGTATTACAGATGTTCCCCCTTTTCCCTCCCATTCACCCCTCCACCCCTCCTGGACTGCCCTGCCCCAGACCTTCACCACCCTTTTGTCTGTGTACATAGGTAAGATCTTTGGTTAATCCTCACCCTTTCCCTCTGAGATTCAGCAGTCTATTTCATGTTACCATGCCACTGATTCTATTTTATTCACCAGTTTATTTTTTTCATTAAATTTCTTTCAAGTGACTCCTCATGTTTAGTCACAGGCTCCATTGAAAGTAAATACAATCTTCTCTGGGTAAGCACATGTGAGGAACAAATGAGCAAAATATACTTTTCTGATATAAAGCAAGTGGGAATATTTAGTGATAAATACAGTGACATACTCTTAGTTACAGTGAAAATGGGGTGTTTTTTTTTATTTCCAGATAGTATTCCTAAAAAATAAATGACATTTTCCTCAGGACTTTATTTTTTATTGTATAAAATAAATATTTGTACTAAAAACTGATTTTCTAAATATTTAAGATGTTTTGTCTTACATCTTAACGGAATAAATTGATAAATTAAAAAGTGTGCACAAAATTATTTGTTCTAAAATTAAAAATAACAAATGGTCTCATTATCATTGAAACTAAATTCATTACTAAAAGCAGTTGAAACATGTTCAACCCAATTAAATGGGCTGCTATACTGTGAGCTGGTATTAATTTTACCTCATTTATATTAATGTAAAGCAAATCATCAAAGCAGAAGTGAAACTGTAACAGCATTTGTTAGTGAATTCCACTTAATGCTCTGGCAGTATTATAGACATATCATTAAATACACTGTGCTAGTCGCAGTGCTAAATCACTTATTGAAAATATTCCTCTTAATGTAGCCCTTAATTTTGGCCACTATCAAAAGAATACTTCATCTTGAAGAGCTATCAAAATATTGATCTGAAACTCTGAATCTAATTGGCTATTTCACAATTATATTGTCTAGGGAAAAAAATAGTTGGCAACGTTTGTCACTTATGGACAATTATTCTTATAAGAATAAAGAAGATAAAGCTGCAGATCAATTACCTGTTAGATATCCTGAGTTTTGAGTGATTACCTCTTTTATCAAGAATTTATTTTCTCCCAGAAATAGTGTAAAGTTAATTCTTATGCCATGCACATGTGATCACAATTGATAAAGGATTTATGATATAATCATAAATCAATTTTTGTGCTCACTCTTCTACTAAGATATATAATAAGGTAGAAAACATCATTTGTCATATATCTTCAGTACCAAAAATGTAGATATATTGACATGTTTTATTATTGAATCTGGTATGTTAAAATATTCCAGAATGTGGGGGGAACTCGCGCTTTTGATTATTTTCTCTCATTCTATGTAGGAAAGAAGTTTTGTTTAAATAAATGTATAGCATTTTTGAAAGTTCAAATAAACCTATTAAAATGAGCACTTAACTATTAACCTTTTGAAATAAATATTAGGTCTTTTTCTTACACACAACTTTCTTCTTCTTAAGAAACTAGAGGTTGAAAGTTCAAATAAACCTATTAAAATGAGCACTTAATTATTAACCTTTTGAAATAAATATTAAGTCTTTTCCTTATCACAACTTTCTTCTTATTAAGAAACTAGAGATGTCTAACTGCCATGGGGAGTGGGCCTAAGCCATCAGTCAGACATCCTTAGTGCTCCCACAGAGGTGGGAGAGGTTCCCGCCACTGCCTCTGCACTCACCAGCCATGAGCACAGCTTCTAGAGCACTGATCACCAGGGGGAAGCTCTTGTGTTGAGCGTCTGCCCCCTGGTGGTCAGTGCACATCATAGCGACCAGTCGTTCAGCTATTCAATTTGCATATTAGCCTTTAAATATATAGGATAGAGATTGGATCTGAATAGAACAGTAATCAAGATGACAAAACAAAGCCAAAACTACTTATATGGCACATTTGCCAATTCATTTTCTATAGATAAGCTGATAAAGGAACAGATAAGGCAAGGTATACAGATCAATAACTGGGTTACTGCTGATATCTACTGGACTACTGATCATTTCCTAGTCTTTGACTAAGAGAGATGTACCTTCAGCATATGGAAAGAGACCTGTGAAGGAGATCTGTATTTCTTTTTCATATGTGTGCTGGGATTTAGTATTCTTGGGCCACATCACTGCTGCTGTATTCCCAGAGCATGAACATAAGAGTATGTCATCTCACAAGTAACTTGCTTTTTTGAGTATATTGGGAGACAAGATCATGCAACCTTTCCCCACAGCCTGTGAATTTTCTGATTGCTCCTGGTTCTCCACTTACATAAGAAAAATACAAGAGTTCTTATAGTGTTTACCCTGGGGTTACTTTTTAATAAGTGCAGGAACAATTCCTTAGCTGAGGTTTAATTAACTCAAAAAGAGTTGCTAAACATTCACAGATTCTTTAGTTTGTTGTTTAGGAAAGTATAACTTAGGAATGGTTTTTGAATACTTATTTAAAAATTATATGTGATTAAACCAAATAGAAATTTTTGTTTTTCCCATAAAAGTTTGATGTTTCCGATCCCAGACTTCCATGGTGAGCTCTGTGATATCATCATCATCATCATCATCATCATCATCATCATCATCATCAAGTGCCTTCCAGCTCACGGCTGTGTTACTACTGGAGTGTCATCCTTACCTACACAGTCCAAACTGGCTGCCCAAGCTCCAGCTGCTGCACCTGCACTCCCATGGCAGGATAGGGAAAGGTGGAGAAATGTGTATGTCCTTTCTTTAAGGAAGCATCTTAGAAGTCCCACAGGATAGCTCTCCTTATTTCTCATTGTTCAGAACTTATCACATGACAATACCTAGCTGCAAGATGGGCTAGGAAATGTAGTTTTTAAATGGTGTGTCAACTGCCAAGTTAAACATTGGGATTCTGGTGGAGGAGATTAGATATTAAATGGCAACCAGCTCACTCTGCCACAATACCCATTTCCCCTTTCAAAAAATTTTTCCAGTATAATAAAAAAAGAAAAACAAAAGAAGACTGTGAAATTAAACACTGCTCCTCAGACAATGCTTTAGAACTTAATGTTTGCCACAAAATAAGTATGTATGACCAGTGTATTTCTGCCATCTACTTGCTGCAAAATTGGAAATCTAGACTGCAAGCTCCTTAAAGACAGGAACTAGACTTTAATTCTTAGTGTTTATCCATTATAAATACAATGAATGTACACTGACAATCGAATGAATGAATTAAATGATTAGGATAACTTGAGATGCAAATGATGGAAGGTAAAAATGTCATACCTCCCAAATACCTGAACATTAGATTGAGATGTAACATGCCACTTAGTAACTAGGGATGTCATGCAAGTCAGTCATTCTAGAATGGAGGACATAGGCCAATAAATAGTAACACTAAATTATAAAATTGATCTGATGATACATAATGAGTCCAAACTTAGTGAATTACATCACTATTCTCCTCATTGCCCTCATCAGGAATCTACGTACCATGGTTGACTGATTTCTCTTTGTCCAGTCTTCCCACATATAATTAATTACCAAATCCTCTTAAGGTTTACCTTCTGTGTCCTAATCTGTCCAAATAGTTCCATCCATATTGCCACAATGCCAGTGTGAGACACCATCCTATATAATAGAAGTCTAATATGCTAAGTGTCTGACCATTTGTTCAACCATTCAACCAGTTGCTATGACACGCACTGACCACCAGGGGGGAAGATGCTCTAACCGCTAGGTTAGCTTGCTGCTGGGGTCCAGCAGATTGGGACTGGGCGAGACGGGCCTGACACGCCCTGGACAAATCCGTGCACCGGGC